TATACACGTAGGTGAAGATGGACATTCAATCCCCACCCTGGGCCTGGGCCAATAGGCCTCCTATTACGGGGACCTGGTGGCCCTCTCTGCCTGTAGATTTCCCAGACTGTTAGCACACCCTGCCTTTCCCAGGAGGTCCGAGTTTCTCCCTCCTCTAGGCCTGGCCTCTGACCTCTACTTTTAGGTCATTTCCCAGGTCAGGCTCTACAGCCTAGACCAGTGATGGCGAACCTATGACACGCGTGTCAGAGGTGACACGCGAACTCATTTTTTGGTTGATTTTTCTTTGTTAAATGGCATTTAAATATATAAAATAAATATCAAAAATATAAATCTTTGTTTTACTATGGTTGCAAATATAAAAAAATTTCTTTATGTGACACGGAACCAGAGTTAAGTTAGGGTTTTTCAAAATGCTGACACGCCGAGCTCAAAAGGTTCGCCATCACTGGCCTAGACAGACAAATGTTTCACTCCCTAGTGCAATAGGACTTTCCTAACAGCAACACCACCAATAACAATAAAGTAACAAATAGCACTAATACTTGGCACAGATAGCACTTTCTGTGTCAAGCACTGTGCTAGGTACTTTAAAAAAAATGTTTATTGATTTCAGAGAGGATGGGAGAGGGAGAGAAAGAAACATCAATGATGTGGAGAATCATTCATTGGCTGCCTCCCACATACCCCACACTGGGGATTCACCCTGCAACCTGGGCATGTGCCCTGACTGGGACCGAACTGTGACTTCCTGGCTCATAGGTTGACACTCAACCACAGAGCCACGCCGGCAGGGCTGTGCTAGGTACTTCTATCTTTCACCTGGTTTAATTTTTAAAACTCTGAACGATGGGCAGTACCACTCATATTTCACAGATGGGACTACATCTAAGGGGCCTAAGTCATTTGCCTAAGGTAACCCAGCTTAGTGACAATGTTCAAATTTCAAGCTAAGTCTACATAACTCCATAATTGCCTTTCCCTCTTAAACCATTTTGTCTCTCTCAAATTCAGGGGCTCAAGACTATCCAGAGGCCAACCCCAACCCTCATCCCCTCCCCTCTCCCTGCTGGGCTGGAACCACTCCCATACCAACCCAGCCCAGGTCTCTAACCACCCTGAACTGATCACCAGCCAGAAGCCCCTCAGCAGTGAGGTCAGTCTCCCAGTTCAGCAATGAGGATGAGGAGGGAAATGGAGGAAGAGGAGGCAGCCAAGGGGATTGGGAAGGCAGCTCCCGGGGCCTCTGAAGCCCAGGCATCCTGGGAAGGGGGGTGGGGGAGCAGAGGTCGGAGGAATGGAGCCTGAGTGACTGCATGGCAAGCCCTGCCTCTCGTGTCCTGTCCTCTCCAGGCCTTAGGACGTAAAGGGGGAGGGAGTCTCTAGCCTTCATCAAACATCAGGAGGAGGATGCACAGGCCACAGCACCCCCCACACTGCATTATATCTCTAGTTTCAGGACTGTCTCTCCCCTCAGACTGTAAGTGACTATGGGTCAAAGACCGTGTTTAATTCATCTTTGTCTTCCTAGGGAGCAGCTCAATGATACCTGGTCAACCAGTGAGTGTGTGCAAGATGGAGCCAGGTGTACTTCGGAGAATTTCACAAGAGCTGGAGGCTGCCCCCTCTCACCATGGACTTACATATACCTACACCTTCATATACCTACACCCTCCCTGCCAACCTCAGCTTCCCCCGTCAAAAGTCCACTGGTGCTCTGAGTACACATGACCTGCTGGGAACTCCTGCCCCTGCTTGCTGGCTTGTTCAGGGCTCCTGGGATCTGGGAGATAAAAGGCCATGGGTATGCCCTAACCGGTTTGGCTCAGTGGATAGAGCGTCGGCCTGCGGCCTGAAGGGTCCCAGGTTCGATTCCAGTCAAGGGCATGTACCTTGGTTACGGGCACATCCCCAGTAGGGGGTGTGCAGGAGGCAGCTGATCGATGTTTCTCTCTCATCGATGTTTCTAACTCTCTATCCCTCTCCCTTCCTCTCTATAAAAAATCAATAAAAATAAATTAAAAAAAAATAAATAAAAGGCCCTGGGTAACTTATTTGTGGAGTTTTCGGTGCTACTGTTCAGTGAACAGGGAACCAAATGACCACAAATAGTGACGAGTAGAGGTCCCGTATGGATGAAGTAAGTATGGCCAGTCCTAACACAGGCTGTTTTGTGGGTTTAGTCTTCAGGACTCCTGGGTACCAGAAAAGTTATACACAACGAGAAACTGCTCACATAGCAAGCGGCAGGTAGCAGCCATGACTGAGGCCTAATACCTGTTCTCGCCCTGCCCAGCCTGGCCTTGGCTCCTGAACACAGAGCTGCCTCCTGCCAGAATTCTGCAGGTGAGGCTCCAGACAGGTGTAGAGAGCTCTCCGGTGGCTGCAGGAGCAGGACAAGCCTGTGGCTGGGCACCAGATGGGAGGGGCTTAGGGAAGCAGCCTCTCCCAGGTTTACGTGGGGCTTGGAGCCCGGAGAAGTGAAGAGCAGGGAGGTCCTCAGAAGGCCTTAGCCCCGGGCTTGGGGCGGGAAAGGGTCCGAAGAAGAGGCTTCCTGCGTAGCCAGGAGGGCCCAGGCAGGTCCGCTCTAGTGCTGGGACTGATGAGGCCCTGGGCATCACTGGCTTCCCTCTGCCAGCTCATCTCAAGACCCACATTATCGTTGACATTAGAGCCTGGGAAAACTCACGGAACTTCAGAGGGTGCCTCCTGCCTCTTCTCTCTCCTTCCCACTCACCCCACCAACCCTGCAAGGAGTTCTCATGACACAAGTCCGGTCCCAGATCCCTGGGCATGGCCTGCACAGGACAGGGCACAGACATCAGCACGGGTGAGCGTGTGCCTGCGCACAGCCACACGTCTTCATCCCAACTGCTCCAGTGCCTTTGATGGTCCTGCCGCCGAGGCCAGGCTAGGCGCGAGCTCCTCAGAGTCTTCCTGGGAAAAGTGAGCTCTGCCGCTGGCCCCTGAGGGCCTGAGTACAGTGAGTTTCCTGACTCTAGTTGGCTTCCCTCCTTTTCTTCTTTCTTTCCTCACTCCCTTGGATGAATTGTAAGAACCTTGAATTAACTGATCTTGGAAGGAACATATGATAAACACCCACCTGGCTGGCCTTGGCCCACCTGCTGCCTGTCCTATCCTAGCAGGAGGCAAGACCTGGTATTTGAGCCAATTCCAGGTCATTTATGGTGGCTGGGCACTGAGGGTAAAAAAAGCAAATGGGACCGGGGTCCTGCCCTCAGGGAGCTCCTCTGACAGGCGTCTATGGGCAGAGGAAAGGATGTGCCAGGAGGGGGGTGGGCCGACAGTCAGAAGGCCAGAGTGAGAAAGCAGCCTCCAGGCTCCCTAGGGTTCCCCACAGCAGACCCAATTTGCTCCCATTTCTCCCTTAAGAGACCTAGCCGTGAACCCAATTCTATTGCCTTCAGGACAATGAGAAGGGCTCTGAGGACACGAGGGTCCTAAAACCAGAGAAGTGCTCGCCCGGCCCCCTCTCCACCTGGTTTGCATGGCAGTGGGTGGGCCTGCTTGCAGCTGGGCTGGCTGAAGCCAAACCCTTTCCTCCCCTTCGGGAGCCAAGCTGGACCAGCAGGGCCTGGCTGCCTCCTTCAGCCCGGCTCTGAGGTGGGTCCCCTTCCCCACTGTCCCACCTACCTGAATTTCTGGACCTGACTTCTGTCTTCTCCCTCGCTTGCTACCTACTTGACACTGCCTGTACTTGGCCTTGCCTGGAAAAGGGCTGTGGAGTTAAACCAAATTGCACTGAGACCTCCATAGGCAGGTTAAGCTGTTCCCGCCTCCCAATTCTCCTCTAAACGTCCAGAAAGAATTAGCTTCTTACTGAAGGCAGAGGCCGTCTGTCACCATTCTCTCTGGTAGGAGGCATGGGTATCGGAAGACGAATGGGCTGAGCTCTGCAGTGCCCCTCCCCTGGGGTGGCTGGTGACAGCTGGTTGAGGGGAGAGGGGGATGGGCCTGCACAAGTTGGCAGGTGTCCCTATAGGCCCAGAGCTGAGATGTAGAGGACTCAGGAGGGGACTCGGTGTGTGGTCCACTAAGGAGCAGTCTGAGCCTACTTGGCCACATAAGCTCCCTGAAGAAACAGGCTCTGACCCTTGCCTGCCTGGAACATGACTATAGAATCTGATTATTCCCAGCGTGGAACCAGACTCAATGGCAAGTTGGGAACTGAACTGCAGGTCAGTGGTGAAAGTACAAAGTAGAGAGAGACCATTATATATGAGTTTGGGAATTAGCACTCTCAAGTTGAGGGATCTGCTGTCCCTGCAGAATGGCCCCAGGGTCCAAACAGGCCTTCCTCCTTTGGCTGAGAATGAGGGTGGACCCATTTGACCAGAGTCAGAGAGACCTCACAGCGAGTAAGAGGGACTTGGGGAGGCAGCTACAAGGTCAGGGCAGGAGAATATGAAGATTAGGAGTAACCCTAGAGCTTACACATAATAGCTTTCCTTACCAGAGGATCTAAAGCAGAGAAGGCCTGCAGGGGCTGTTGGGGAGGGACTTGGGAGCTGGGTTGGGGGTGTGGCTAGAGAAAGCTGAGAAAGGCCCTAGCAGCGGTTCTCAACCTGTGGGTCGCGACCATCGGAAAACACATATAGCATATCAGATATTTACATTACGATTCATAACAGTAGCAGAATTACAGTTATGAAGTAGCAACGAAAATAATTTTATGGTTGGGGGGTCACCACAACATGAGAAACTGTATTAAAGGGTTGCGGCATTAGGAAGGTTGAGAACCACTGCCCCACAGCCTGGGTACCTAGAGGCAGGGAGCAGATACCAGGCATATCAACTCCAGAAGCCTGGGGCAGCCACCTTTGGTTGAGTCTGAGTGTCTTTCAACTCTGGGTCATTAATGCTTCGTTTGAAAGGTTCCTCTTTGCTCTCTGCTGGGTTCAGAGGAAGGGACTGACCTGGAAGCTGGGCAAGGCCAGGGCAAGAAGAGCAGGGAAGGAGCTGGTGTACAGGGAGCTCACCACTCTCTCTTTGTAGACGATGTACTTCAACCACTTGAAGTCCTGCCACTTGAAGCCAGCGAGGACGAAGAGAGAATCACGTTCATATTGCTCAGGTCGCTGCATGGCGCCCTCGGGGTAGGTGATGCGCAGTGTAGTCTTGCTGCCCACGTCCTTCTCAAAGCCTTTCACTGGTGCTGAGTTCAGTCTACAGAGAGCAGCCCCAGTCAGAGCCTTGGGCTCACTGCATGTGGTCTGTGGTCTATGTTTGGGGAAGCACTCCGACCCCAGAATACCCCAGGTTCAGAGAATGGGGAGCCCAAGTCACCGGGGGCCATCTAGCTTTCTGATCCAAAATCCTCCAACCCAGGACGCTTCTTCAGGCTTCTGCTGACCTCCAGCCCAACTGGCCAGATGGCCAGACAATTCTCAATGGGCGCAGGCACCAGGGTCTGGGCCCGGACATGCAGGTGCCCGAGGCACTGCGTTGGGGAGTTTACCTGACCACAATGTCATAGTCATCAATTCGTGACCCCAGAGACTTGTTGGCAAGGACACCTCCGTTGCCTACGATGATGCAGCGGCGACAGCTGAGGCTGAGGGAGAAAGGCAGAGACCTCTGGAGAGCTGTCCACCAGGTATCCTTTCCCCTACCCTTTTGGCCCTTGACCCCATGCCCTTGACCAGGCACAGGCTGGGATAGAAGGAGAAAACGAATGGGCTTCTGGCAGTATTTCTAAGAGGCCAGAACCGAACTGCAGGCAGATGGGCCACCTGGAAACTCTCAGACATCCCCAGTCCCTGACACTTCTCCAGGAAAACATGGGTGTGGAAAGGGCTCGGACACTAGCGCCGTGTAGGTGAGAAAGGAGGCTCCGGTAAGATGGCACTCTGGGTCAAAGATTACCCAAGAGTTAGTGGGGTTTAGGCAGCTTTCAGGAGAGGGAAGTGAGCTGAGCTTGAGGGCTAAGCCAGAAAAGCAAGGACAGAGAAAGGGACTGGAGGCTCCAGGACTTGGGGCTGGGCTTATATTCAATCCAGAAGCCCCCGTGCTCCCATAAAGCCACCAGGGAACCCTACTCACTTTTCTCTCCAGCCCCTGACCCTGGGGGTCCTTCTATCTGGGTTCTGATGGCTTCAGAGGTATTACTGCCTCCTGGGTGTAAGCCTTGGCCCTTTTAGCTGTACCTACCACCTAGCTCCGCAGTCCCAATGTCAGGCACATCCCAGACCAGTGTCTTAGGTTTTTACCCTCAGACCTCTGCTGTCTGAGGAGTGAGATGTCTTGCCAAGTACTTACAGCTCATGGTGCAAGCCCAGCTAGACGGCCCCACTTCTCTGCTCCCCCACCCCAGCGTGTGTACTGTGTGTGCACATGTGGATACGTTGGAGAATCTGCTCATGTCCAGGAAAGGCCAGCTGGGCAGCTGAGGGGCAGGAGGCCGGGCAGTGAGTAGCTCACCTGTCCAAGGCAGGGGTCAGGCGGTACTCTTTGGTGACTGACAAGATGGCTTTGATTAGATTATCTGTGGAGAGAAGAGGGAGGTTAACGTTAGAGGATCACTTAAGTTCCCATGAAATGGTTTCCGGGTAGGGTGGAGGTGGAGGAGGGGAGAGGGAGCTCTGGGCACAGGCTGGCTGGGCTGCTGGCTTTCCTTTCTCCCTGAGAAAAGGAGAGGGCGCAGGGGAACAGGCAGACACACTCGGCTCTGCCTGGAGCCAGTCCCCAGCACCGGCATGCAGGTTCTTCCCCAGCCCTTCCCTGGCAGTCTCGTTTGGCTTTGGGAGGCTCTGAAGTCAGGCCTGGGACTTGCCCAGGAAGGGCTGGGCTGGCTCAGTAGAGGGTTGAGGTATTCTTGGGTCCCCTGGCCACATGATATCTCCCATTTAATAGTTATCTTATTTAATTCTGACCACATCCTAGTACAATGGTATTCTTCTCTCCACTTAACTGATGAAGAAGCTAAAGCGCAGGCAGGTTAAGCAACTTGTCCAAGGTCATAGCTAGTAAAAGGGCAGCAGTGGGATCTGATCCTTCTGTGTCTGACCCTAAAGCTCATACTCCATCATGCCATGAAACAGAGCAGGAACCTGACACAGAAATGGAACTGTTACTATCAGGATGGGAAAGTCTAAGTTAGGAGAGGGCCCACGAGTGCGGACCCTATGGCAATGGAAGCAGACAGTTCTGAGACTATAGGCTGAGGACTGAAGGGTCCTAGGTTCAATTCTGGACAAGGGCACATGCCCGGGTTGTGGACTCAACCCCCCGTAGTGGGTGTGCAGGAGGTAGCCAATCAATGATTGTCTCTCATCATTGATGTTTCTATCTCTCCCTCTCCCTTTCGCTCTGAAATCAATAAAATATATATATACACACAATGGGGAAAGTACACAAAAAAGTACTAAATACCATTAATCATCAGGATAATGGATATTAAAACCAAACAAAATAGCCTAGGAATTCCATAAAAATATCTAAAGTGATGATAAGGATATGAAGAAACAACAACCCTCACATCACCTCCCTCACTGGCGGGGAAGTATAACAGGATGGCCATTTTGGAAAACAGTTTGGAAATTTCTTATCACATAATCCAACAATTTCACCCTAAGGTGTGTTTTCATTTC